CATGGTATCATTATTATATGTGGTTAGAGTTAGAAAAAATTCCCAACCAATTAACTTTAATACACTTATACACCAAGTTTTTTTTTAAAACAAAGTTAATTTCATGGCTGATTGTGCTAGGTGTCAGTTCACTCACCATAATAAAGTACAGAATGATAGCGCTGTCTACAAGTTATGGTGAAATGTGTTCAGACTTCAGAGTTTGTAAACAATATAAGTGCTAGCGATTTACTCATATATTTGGTGTTCCAAAAACTGCTTATGATTAGTGAGTTCAATGTCACACTATTATTTTGATAGGATCTGGACGAAAAACCACACACCAGTGGATATAAAGTAATTGACTAACTGGCTTCAGTCTTGGGAACGTTGAAGGATTTGTGGAGTGTGAAGAGAGAACCCTAACTACAGTACTACAAGAAACTAGGGCTTCAAAAGCTCACCTTCAGTTTGTTCTGGTATGTATAGCCTTCATCAGCTGGACCCACTACTGCCAATTCGCTTTCAAATTCTCGTTCTCACATGATCTCCTCTGTGTCACCCTCGCACCCTCGTTTCGCATTCAGGTGCCACTCAAACGATGTCCTGGCATGCGACATCAATGGATAGTCTCCTAAGTGTGTGTGTGTGCGTGCATTTCATCGGAATTTTCTTCGGGAAATTTGCTAGGCCAAAGTTTGTTGGTTGTTACATTTCCAGAATTCCAAGTTACTAATCCCTTCTGGCCAACCATCTAATCTTCAATATAGAGCCAGCAAAGGCAGCTGTTGGTGAAAGTCGGCTTTTTGAGATGCACTCATCATTGTCTCTGACCCACAAAGAAGCATTGACTCACTTAACACTACCGTTGAAAATTTATTTCCTGTTGTTCATACTGAGTCCAGGAGAATACTTCAAACTCATTTGAGAATTGCATGGAGGATTTAATCATGAGCTGACATCAATTAGAGAACCACTGGAAAACCTGGGAGTACTGGACAACTGTTTCGTCCTAGTTTGGGACTCTTCAGCAGTACGCACCCACCGGGATTCGAACCCAGGACCTTCTGGTTACAAGGCGAGCTGGTAGATAAATGTTTGCTTTGACTTTTCAAACCTGTAGTTCGAAACGATTCTCTGTAGGTAGGTAAAAGGTCTGAATTCTTACAGATTCCTCCCGTTGATAGTGATTAGTGCTGTTTGTCGTTGTTGTTGTTGCTTGGTTGGTTGGTTGGTTAGTTGGTTCTTTTCACCACATACATTCATCTTCTGCATGTTTTTTAAAATTTTTTTTAAATTACAGCTTGATTCCACACCGTATTTTTCGTACAAGTATGGAATTTTCAGCATGTGATATCGGTAGCCCGAATTTTACAGGCCGACCATAGAGTTATCAGGTGAATAAGAAACGAAAGTTGGTGGGCAGTCATGTGCAACCGGTCAAACAAGACAGTAGGGTGAGATGGAGATTTACTGCTTAGAGTGTGGCAACTTGAACTGCTGCGCATCAGTGCAAAATTCTCTGTCGAGAACAGACAGATTTGCTGCTGAAGCCCTAGGTTGCACTCAGAACCCAAGGGAAGAATGATAATGTAATGATACTGGATGCGATAGAAAAATATGTATCACCAAATTGGCAGACGTTAGAATTCATGGACTGTTGAATTCTGTCATAGCAGTGAAAATAGTCAACCGGATCGACTCGAAACCTGAAAGTCGTGAGTTAGACTATCTCAGATAGGCGATTTCCGTGCACTGCTAAACGGCCCAAACCAGAAGGGAAAAGCTGTGCTCTTAGTACGCCTCGTTCTGCAATAGTTAAATCTAGCTAATGTTATTTCATCATGATCTCTAACCTCGAATTCAAAAGTGTTTTGAAACACATCTTTAAAAAATACGATAAGTTGACAATAAGTTATTTCAGCTGACGTCTCGTCTTCACAAGCTAATTGCTACTATTTACTTTGCATAAAATCCTGCATAAAACATTTTGCAAACTCCTATATGATTCATGCATAGACAGAGACTAAATACCATCTGAATATTACTGAACAAAACCTGTGGATTTTTTTCTCTTTTTTCCATTCATTTAACTATTCATGAAGACTTTTAATGCTTTGGCTTAATCTGCTCTTTTCATTTCTCGAATATACCTTGTCCAACATTCTTATGTGGAGCGTGAACACTTTTGAAACCGATGAATATCTCTTCCAAATATCCTTAGAATTGTGGTGAATGAACAAACCACCCAATATCAGTGGATGAATCACACACGTGCACACGCACACACACACACACAGTTTTAAATATTAAATGACAAACAGAATGAAGTTTTAGAATATTTTCCGATGAAAAGACAAACAAACAGACAAACAAGCAGGGTGAAACACATTTCAGAACATTGTTAATTTAATTCAGTGTGTATGACTCCTTAAAGATGGTGTTCACATCACTGTTTACCTCTTGATATACTATGAAATCCTAAGAGAAAGTAATATTCCAAGGGTTATTCAGTAGTAAAATTAGCATGAAGAGAAACACATGATTTGACACACGCACAGACACACACATATACAGACAGGCAGACAGACACACAATGCTCCTAAATAAAATGAACTGAAAAGTATTAGATGGTTGGATGCAATCGGCAGGAATCCTTGGCTGACCTAGGTTTCGTGCTAGCTGGCATTGACCAGTGAGTCAGCAAGGCGTATCTGCAACCAACTTGAAGGAACTCATGTTCCCTGTGAGATTCGAACCGGCGTCATCCAGTGTCGAAGTCTCAGACGTTAGCATTGAGCCATCCGGACTCGCGGTTGACCTCATGTGGAACTCTGTTGGATACTCTGACTAGTGTTATGAGTCTATCTAGTCCTTTCTTCGGTACAGACTGAATTCTGTCATTTTAATTGTTTGCAATGTGGCCATCATTCTAGGTAGCTCACCATCACAGTCTACATTGATTTGATGATGGTTGGAGGCAATCGAAAGGAAGCCAATCAAAGTATCCTCTACAGTCCTACAGGAGGTCAATCCCGAGTCCGAATAGCTCAGTGGTAACGTCTCTGACTGCAGGCGGCACTGGGTGACTTGTGTTCAAATCTCAGAAGGGACATGAGTTCCTTGGAGGTTGCAGATACGCCTTCCTAACTGTTGAGTGCCAACCAGCATGAAACATAGGTGAGGCGAGGCTTCCTGCCGATTGCCTCCAACTATCTAACATCATGAAATCAATGTGAACCATGATGGTGAGCTACCTAAAATGATGGCCACAATGCAAACCTGATTGACAGAATTCAGCCTTCACTGAAGAAAGGACTAGACACGTCACACTAGTTACTAGTCTCCGATCAAAGTATGAACTGAAAAATCCGTCATGATTACAAATCATTGAAGAAATTAAAATCGTGGCTATATGAAAACAAAAACTGATCATTTAACTACCTTTACTACGGTGTTGGATTTTAAATGAACATGAAATAATCGTCGACTGATGAAACGATCAGAACTGGAAGTATCGATTTCTGCACAAAAGTGTAGCAGTTACAGTTATCACACTTTAGAAAACAGAAATGCCCGAGAGAAAGAATAATGAAGATTTTCAGAGAGTGGAAAAGCACAGAAAGTGAATACATCTCTACTGCTGAGAATGATTTTCACTCGTGTTATCAACACTTCACATAATGGCTGATGTCTAACTGTGTATTTTTGATGGCCCTAGTCGATGCCTAGTCAACAAGTCTTAACATCACTCAGACTAACAATTAAAAATTTCGTGGATTGGTATGCTCACCCTTAAATCTTTTCCATTCTATACCTACTTCAACCGACACTCCTCGTTAAGGAAGCTCATCTTATCCAGTACAACTGATACAGTTTCACAACCTCATCGATAGACTTCCCCTCCTTGTTAAAACACTCTAATATAGAATTAGATGAAGTGCAGCAAGGTGAAGAAGGCGCATCACTCTATCTATAGATATTTTATGGCAAATCAAAGCTATAATTTGGTCCATTCAAAAGTCCCACAGTTCGACGAAATCAATGGGGTCCTCTGAAGTTGCTCGATAATCCCTTCATTTTGGTATATCTCTAGTTTCTATGAAAACAATCAAATTTACAACAGTTTTAGTTCTAAAGAAGAATGAATGTAAAAAGTTCCTTTCATTGTATCTTATTCCACTATTCATCGACTAATAAGTCTTCAACTTTCCCAGGATTTTAGAAGTCAGAGTGTAGAATTCATTTGTAACGAACTGACACTATTTCAAGAAAGCATTGAAAACCTACACGGGGCTACTGGATAGCTGTCTCATCCTATTTTCAGACTGTTCTTCAGCAGTACGCACTCACCGCCAGAGTTCGAAACAACCAATTTCCTTTAACAATCCAAGCTTCTAGGTCATCCAGCCACTGGAATAAGATCCAACTGGCCATGAATTCCAAGTTCTGACAATCTACGATTTATACAAAGCGACCGCTAGCCAACGTCATAGGAGAAGAATTGTTCTCTTACCTCAGTCTTCCCTAAACTGTCTACTGCTAGTGTAGTACTGATTTAGTTCTTCTTGAAATGGTGACTTCGTGAGTATGAGCTAATTGATGGAGGCATATAACTTTAGCTGCTCTCACTAATTACATAATCTTTATTATTAACGCACAGGTATTCCTTCCGAATGAAAGGTGAACCTGTCACTTGTTCACCTAATTTCACCAAGTTGCTGAAGAGGAACACTTCACACTACGAACAGTTGGATTGCAACGCATCTTTCGAAAAGTCCAAATAAATTATTGATTTTAAAGTGATATGTAAAATTATAACAATAATAATCATAACAGTATTGCAGATTTGTAACTTTTCACCTGGATAAGGGGGGGGGGTGCAGTTAATATCACAAAAAAAATACCCAGAGGAATCACTACTGATCAAATTATCAATCGACAATTGTAAAACAGGACAGGCTTTAAAATAAATACATAAATTAATAAAAATAGAGAGACAAACAATACCGCAAACCTACATTTATATTCATTCAAATCGACTGCTACACGTTCACATTTTGAACCATAATAGGGTGTATAACAACTGAAGTATTTATTTAAAATTATATCAGTATAAAGCGCGGTAATTTCAATATATGTATATATGCATATATATATGAATGAACGAATGAACCAAGGGACACACGATAGAAGAGTTGAAAGTATCAGGTTAAATGCGTAGAAGATGTTGAACAAAAATATGAGAGTAAATGGTCGGTATTATTAAAAAATAAAATAAAAAATATACTACTTAATTATATTCAGTAGAATAATAGTTTAAGACAAATATTATGCTTCTAATAAATTCACCTGTTAGCCTAGAGTATAAGATAACAGTTGGAAAATCTAAAGATCAGATGGATGTGTTAGGGAACACTCAGTGGAGAGTGCAGCGCTGTTATACACAGGCGCGCGCACACACACACACAGGCACACACAAATTACTTACCTAATAGTCCATCAATATGGAAATGACATCGATCACCAAAATACTGATCAGCACACCTTTGAAATCGTATTTTTATAAGAAGAAAGTGTATATTTTTTTAAAATGGAGGGATACTTTAAAGTTTATTTATGTATTCTATTTCTGCATATAGTCACAACCATTGGAAACTAAGTAGAGAGTATCGGACAGTCATCTGTTTCGTCCTAGCTGGGGACGCTTCACAGTACGAACCAACTAGGGTTGTTGGCCGAAGACGTTCTGGTTATATGGAAGGCTCTTAGACATTGGGATCTAATCCAATGGCTTGTGGATTCCAAATTCTGTCAGTTTGTGACTTGTATAACTCAGTAGCCAGCCAGCGGCATCGGGGATAACTGTTTTTTAACCTGACTTGGTTGACTCTTTTGGTTGCGACTTCTTACTAGAAGTCTGGAAAACTCCTTGTATAGATCTAGTTGCTAGTGAGCATCAGATTAATTATGAGGTGTTAGTTTGCGGGGATTTAGCTGGAGTAACCTTAGTGTCTGAGTGAAGAATTTAAACGTATCTCAGAAATTTGTGGTAATAATTCCACTGCTAAGCATTAATGATGAGTCTTTTTGATCGTTATGTATATTGACAGCATAATAGCGTACCAGACCAATGTACATTTCAGTTAGAGCGCTAACTAGTATCAGTTAGAGAACCATTAAAAACCAGAGAGGACTGTATAAGTGTTTCGTGCTAGTTTGAAACTCTTCAACGGTATTCACCTATGACAGCACTAGGGATAAATCTATGGTTGTCTTGATGACAAGACTATTAGAAGAAGCTTTTACAGGTATTCAAATAAACCCTAATTTCTTGATAGGGAAAGAAAGACCAGATTTGCGGTATAAAATGATATCATTCTATTTCACAGGACCAAGGAGTTATGTTCACCTAACAAGGTAGAAGAAGAATTAAGCTTTGTTGAAAAAATGCCCTAATTTAAACGGGTATTCAGAGGGATTTATCCTAAATTACAGCGAATGAAGAGATGAGAAAGCGAAGTATCCAACAGTTGAAAAGAAGAAAGCGTTCATTTGCCTCTCATACAAAAGAGAAGCAGTATCACAAAAGATTGAAAAGAGGTTAAAAGAGCAATAAAGTGATGCTTCCCTGCAGCCGAGCTGGTAACACTAAACAGCAATACATGCTATATAACCCAGTCGAAACTAGATCAGTACCCTGCTGATGTTACCTACAACTGCATTTATAAACTTACGTGCACCTGCGGCAGCAATAACATTGGAAGGACAGAAAGAAGCGCTTCTATCCGGTTTTCAGAGCATATTCCAAGAAACTTATGCTTAAAAGGAAGCAGATATTTACAAGGCACAATTACCAGACACCCACTTGTGGATACTTCAGGTCATTTTGTCCAGATTTCCGAATCTACTATGATTTTCTGAAGCAATAGCAAACAAATGTCTCAGACCAAACGTATGCACACAGAAAGAGAGAGTATAGTCAATCTCTCATTCCCTTGGTAACCAACCGTATTACTTTCATTAAACTGATAAGCTATAAAAACTAGTGACCTCAGCTCACTAAGCAAGTTTTCATTTTGATGAACTTAAAACCTTCTTGAGTTGCCTTGTTGACGTACAAGCTAACACTGTTTATTGCATTTTTCTGTTTTCTGTCTTCTCTCAAACATTGAGGTATGAAATGTTATTATTTATAACCATTATAATTTTAGGCAGTGGTTTGCAGCAGCTGATGAGAACCTGTGAAATAAAATGATGCTATCATTTTATACTGTAAACATGGCCTTTCTTTCTCTATCGAAATTTATCATCAAGGGAACTGAATGTATGTAACTCTAATTTTAACTGATATACAATCAAATTAGATGAAAATTTAAAACTCAACGTGATTTGTATAAAAATTAATTTTAATAAACAAAATATGAAGTGGTATCAACTGACCTGCACTGGAATGATACTCTCTCATTTCTGTATGTATAACACTGTCCACCATTTAGACAGTAATCTTTATGCTCATCTGAACAGGGAATTAATTCATCTGTGTTGATAAAAATGAAACGGTTAGAGTTTCAAGACAGAATTTATGTACATGCATGTATGCATATAAAGATTTTTAATAACCTATGCGAAACTAAACTCCAGTCATTTTATCATTACTTATCATTCACAGAAATCTATGCACAGTCGAGTTAATTCGTTTTTTTTCTTCAAGATGAAGTTATATTTAGTCACGATTATATCTGGGAATAATATTGAAACATTTCTCGTCTGAGACATCAACACACAGAAAGGCTTTACTTAGTCTTTTAGATAGTATTAAATGGCTTTATTACTGCAAAAAATGTTTACACAATATCTTCAATAGTTTAGTAATTCCCATATTCAGCGGAGAGACTCTTTTCAACAACGAATTTATTATCAAGCTGTACGATCATATATATTTATATATATGTGGTTTTTAAGAAACCAGATCTGATGAAGGAATTAGGTCAAAGGTGTGAATACATGAAATAATAATAATAGTATGAAATACAATCAAAATTAAAACGTCTGTGATTACAATCATAGTTAAGTGTCAAGTAGCAAAACAATTAATGTCATATGTAGAATAATTTATAAGGTGCATAATTATAGGATTAGTAGGCGAATATAAAATGTTACATAATGTGATGTGAAATTTGATACGATAGAATTTAGTATTGTAAAATATAGTTTTGGATTTAGAATGACAAGTGAGACAAGTGGAAACAATTCAGAATGAGAATGGTAATAATAATAATAATCGTAGTGATAAGGGAAAGGTACATAGAATAACTAAATAAACAAAATAAATAAATAAATGTCTATCCCTCTATGTCCAAGGCAGAAGTAAGGATTGCACATAATTCTTTTGTACACAGAGGCCTGGTTAAAGTCATGAATTGCCAAGGCCTCCACTGTCTTTAAAAGTCTGTAACGAAGGAAACGCGGCTGACAGGTTAGCATGGATTCAGTAGGAGATCTTAAAATAATGGTCAGGGTTGGCAGAGTGGCAGAAGTCGATCAGGTGTTCTAGAATAGAGCTTTGCACACACTACCTTTCTCCCTTGTTAAACCATGTTGCTGGAATATGTTCTCGTATCCGTGTGGAAAGCGTCCTCTAGCTACGGCCAATAACCTTGCTCCACAAGAGCAGGTGAAAGAATAGATGCATATGGAGGTGGCCAGACGGGGAGCATAACTTTCACAAAGATGGAGAACAAATTGAGGCTGGTGAACATCATCTGTAATTTTGGTGCAAAGAATGTCTTACTGACTGCTTTAGAGAGATAATTTTTGAGCATATCTGAAGTTTAATTATCCTTGAATTCCAAGTTCATGAATAAGGATTTCTTTGGAACTGAGTCGCTGACCAGTTTAGACTGCTTATCTTTCATGTTGTTGTCAATAAATCGGTTCGGGTAAGCGTTTTCTTTAAGCGGTACTTTTAGGAAGTCAAGTTCTGAGTCAACGCAATCAAAACTACAAATGTTTCTTATCCTAAAGCAGAGTGAATTAATTAGATTCCTTTTCCACCCAACTATAGTTGTCCGTTCGATTTACATTGCCGTTGGGGGATCTTTTGAGAGATTCGTCATTATGTCTGCTAAGGCACATATCAAGAAACGGAATACTTAGTTCAGACTCTTTTCTATGGTGAATTGTAAAGAATATCGACAATTTCCAGCGTAGTTCATTGCATAATATTTTACTCTTCATCCAAAAATTTCAAGCACAAACAGGAATTTTTCTCTGATCCCCTAGAAATGAGCTACATTAGGTTACAAATCAATTAAAATTGTGCACGAGTACATTTGGAGAACCATGGACATAACTGAATGATGATAACAATAAGAACTAAATAAAATACAATGCATTACCTCAGAAGGGAATTCAGGCGACCCAATGATTCAGGCAGGCAGCCGTGATGCTAATTGAGTCAGCTAATATTATGGTAAGAGCCGTCTGTTAGCCAAAATTGCAGACCCTAATTTACGTCAATGTTTACGTCTCGGGTAAGGGTCACGAGATAAAAACAATAATAAAGCCTAACCTTGAAGAACTCAGCAACCAATCACAGCAGACCTTGCGTGGGCGGATACGATTCGCAGAGATATGGTCTGACCTTCAAAGAACCGTTCACGAATAGATGAGAGAATAACTTTCAGCGAGTAAACAACCAATCAGAAGATGTTGCTTCTCTGCTAACAGTAATGAATAATAATGCATATAAAAATCTATAAATAACTCTTGATTTTCTCAATAAATGATCTGTTGCCTGGCCCTTGTCTTCTGTCGTTACAATATGTATGTGCTAATATGTATAAGGCTGAAGCATTATACATATCTATAACTAAGTGTTTCATGGTTTATAAAACGGAAGTACTAGGCCTACTAGTCATAGTGTAACGACAGAAAACAAGGGCCAGGCAACAGTTCGCTTATTGAGGAAATCAAGACATATTCATAGATTTTTATGTACATTATTATTCGTTATTTATTATTAGCAAAAAACAGCGTCTTGTGATTGGTTGTTTTCTCGATGAAAGTTAACCTGTCAACTCATTGTGACCGTTTCTTTGAAGGTCAGACCATATATCTGCGAATCGCATCCGCCCACGCAAAGTCCGTTGTGGTTGGTCAAGTTGTTGGTTGTTAAGTTAGTCTTTATGCTTGATTTTCTCATGACCAGGATATGCGACATAAACATTGACGTAAATTGCTGTCTACCAGTTTGTCTAGCAGACGGATCTCACCACAGTACTACTTACCTCATTGTCGAATTTTAATACACTCATTATAAACGACACTACGACAACTATATATATATATATATATATAATATTTTCTATAGTTTGGTTTGTGAGGATTAGTTTTGTTTTTACGCGTTGATCACGGATTGATATCAGTTAGAGAACCATTAAAAACCAGGGAGTACTGGACAGCTGCTGTTTCGTCCTAGTTTGGTAATCATCGGGAGTACGCACCCACTGGGATTCGAACCCAGGACCTTCTGATTACAAGGCCAGCAAGCTCGTATACCATTCAGCCACTCACTGGGACCCGAATCAATGGCCAGCCGATGAATTTTAACTCCTACCAATTCGTGATTTAGCGCGATCCCAATCATTGTCGTTGGTGGGACATCCATCCACACACGTGACATCCAACTGGACCTCACTGGTCACGACTTCTCACTAGAACTCAGGAAACTCCAACCTGTAGTAAGTCACTAGCGAACATCACATTAATTTTCTATAGTTTGGTAGCCAATGATTCCCAAACTAGGGTGAAACAGCAGCTGTCCAGTACTCCTTCGTTTTCAGTGGTTCTCTAATTGATATATAATATTGCAAAATTGTTGCGCAGTATTGACAGGAAAGATTATGATTGTTTTTACAATCCTACTGGTATCCAAAGTCAACTGTGTCTAGATCTTAATCCGTTCATAGTGAGGAATTTTGAAAGCGTCACCCACAGACAGATTGATGTATTTCTGTAAATGTATTGGACAATTATTTTGTTACAAGACGAGGTTGTAGACCAGTCAGCCAAACTGGCTGTAATTCATTGACGCATGAACTCATGGAAGTTAGAATTCAAGAGGTCATGGATTTCCAATTGAAGTGGTTTTGAATAGTCCACAAGCCTGAATTCTAAGCTAGAAAGTAGCAGATTTGATTCCTGAAGGGGGTGGGGGGGGGGGTCGTGAAACAGTTGTCTAATACTCCCTCGTTTTCAGTGAGATCATTCTAACTGATAAGCTGGTTCGTGATAAAAATTCAATCAAGTTATTGTGTAGGTCAATTCTAAGGTAACTATACATCACGTTTGGTAGCTTCTAATTTATAAGAAAGCAATTACCAATGATCAGACTATGAAAAATTAGGTTTCCAATGATTGCATAACTGATATCAATCCGTGATCAACTTGTAAAAAGCAAAACATTATATGAATAAGGCAATTTAGAAGACAAATTTCATGAGATGTTATCTTTATTTCGTTTTTACTCTACAACCGCTTAACAACTAACATGGTTCACAATGACAAAATGAAATAAAATCTATGACAATTGCTCAGTTATATTAAATACAAAAGTGCATACAAATGACCAGTCATGTTTAAATAGGTCATGTTGTAGTCAATGGTAGGCTATGGTTGAAGTCTATTGTCTTTTGTACACACAGTTTAGGCTGTATGCGATTAATCCCCCAAAATGCTTCCATCCATCACCTTCAACAACCAACCTTGAATGAGAGTTATGTGTCGAAATAATTGTGAAACAGTCATTAATAATATTGATTTTGTGACCTGATATTAATGAGTGGTTTGCAATGGATGGTGCGGGATTTCTATTCAGATTAATTGCATTGGGGTTTTCAACGTGTTTTAATAATCACTTAGAACATGTTCTTTTCGACGACATTCAGTTTTATTAGCTGATGGTGATCCGGAAAACTTTATCAATTGTCACAGTAAGGATAGACCACATTTAGAAAGCACAGCTTCTATACCAAAGAAAGCTATCTTTATTAACCTACAATTATTCAAGAGTGACCAGATTATACAGCTGACAGCTAGCTCAAAGACTTCGGCCAGCCATCAAATGCACATTCTACGCCGCATCTCTTTTTCTCATTTGCCGAACATTTTCGATCCCTGTACCTACGATTAAAGGACGAAATTCTCTGGACTCTACTTCAAACTGTATCTACAAGTTCACCTGCAGCTGCGGTGACATCTATATAGGTAGAACCAACAAAATGTTCCAATGTCACGATCGTAAAGAACATGTTCCAAAATGGCTACTAAATCATATAGAAAACCCCAATGCAATTAATCTGAATAGAAATCCAGCACCATCCATTGCAAACCACTCATTAATGTCAGGTCACAAAATCAATATTATTAATGACTGTTTCACAATTATTTCGACAAATAACTCTCATTCAAGGTTGGTTATTGAAGGTGATGGATGGAAGCATTTTGGGGGATTAATCGCATACAGCCTAAACTGTGTGTACAAAAGACAATAGACTTCAGCCATAGCCTACCATTGACTACAACATGACCTATTTAAATATGATTGGTCATTAGTATGTACTTCTGTTTAATATAACTGAGTAATTGTCATGATCTTTATTTTGTTATTGTGAACCATGTTAGTTGTAAAGAGGTTGTAAAGAAACTACGAAATAATGCTATCATCTCGCTAAATTTGTCTTCTAAATTGCTTGAATCAAATTCATCAAAGGGACTAAATGTTTTAATTTTCTTAAACAAAGGCTCCCCAAAGATACTATAAAACATTATGTATTTAATAACATGGTTTTAATGCTCAAATACAGTTTAAACAGAAAAAAGAAATACAGTATCAGCTTACCCATTACTTTTTCAATAGTTCGGTTATTTTGTTTAACTGAAAATGAAAAAGATGAAATCACGGTATATAGTAGACACAATATAAGATTGTTAAAGACTGAGAGATAAAATTCACATTTTATTGTCAAAACTTTGGAAGCAGTAGGCATAGAACTTTGGTAACTTTATTCAGAAATGAAAACTGTTTTATTATTGGATGGAAGATTTCATTACGAGCTGATATCAGTTCGAGAACCACTATAAAATCTAGAAATACTCGATAGCTGTTTCGGCCTAGTTTGGGACTCTTCTTCAGCACGCACCCACTGGGATTCAAACCCAGGACCTTCTGGTTACAAGGCTACCGAGCTCGTAGACCATTGAGCCACTGAGACCCGATTCTTATTGCTATTCTCTTTGGTGTCGGAAGAGAAACACAAGAATTCGGCATCAAATTACCACTTTACTGTGTTCCATGCAAGCTTCCATAAGCTTGCAATTCCGCTGTCAATCACGAAAGATTTCTACATGTAAAGGAAAGGATATAGGCCAATCGTTATCCAAGATGACCAGCTTCATTGTAAAAAGTCGGGAAATGACCTTCCCGTCTGATGAATATCACAGTAGAAGAGGGAATTTCTGCTGGAATTATTCTAATATGGTAAGCATACCAGATAAAAGTTTAACTACTGTTTATCCGGCTAAATGACTGTTTTAGGAATTTCGTTAATCCCAACTGTACAACAGTACTTATTCGTACATTTTAACGGTCAAGTTAAACTCTAAGCACCACTAACTAACTAACTAACAATGGAGTGCAACCGCACCAGTGACCTTGAAACGCTCACTGAGTAGTAGTTAGTGAAGCCTGGCAGATAATGTTGTCATCATCAGTAAAATATGCTCATCGAAGTGTTTATGCTATTCAATGGGATATCTAGTAAGTTTCAGCTTGGGTTTGTGAACGATTAAGTCACGGTTTAAGCCAAGGACAATTTAGGGTTAACTTGTCCTATTAAAGGCGATATTAGGGTTGGTTAAAGTTAGATTACAGTTAATTTAGGGATATCTTCACGTTTGGGTTAGTTTCAGGAAAGATAAGGGTTATTGTTAGGTTTAGAAGACTTAAATAATAATTACATGTACAGAATGTGGTTAAATTACTCTGTTGATATAAGAAGAGAACATGTGCACTGTGATAGAGTATAATTCCATTATGGGTAACATTTATTTTAATAAATTCTCACAGTGCTTTATAGTAATATTTACTGATGACCACATTTCGAGGACAACTTATTACTCAGTAAAAATTACTGTATTACACACTATGAGACTATGTCAAAACAAATTTCACCCGCTATTAAATCATATTCTGTTGATACTCCAACCTAAAATTGAGAGCTATTTTTATCACATGTGACAGCAAAGTATCCTCTGTAATACTTCCATACAGTTTTTATGCATTTCTTTTTCATAAATTTATGTATTCCATACACAGAAATGCCTCCTTCACGTGATTAATGCGTTCAAGGTCACTCCTTGATGATTGGTAGTTAGTGGTGCTTAAAGTTTAACTTTGCCTTTTATTCAAATCCTTTGTGTTTTAAGTGAAACAAATGGCTTCAAGTTAGAGCTTTGAATATTCAGTCACAGTGATGCTTTTTTTGTTTTACAGGATGGAATTGTCAGCCTCATGCCCGACCTTCCTCGTTTGTCATGTTTACTGCAGTCTAACTGAGTTAAACAAGTCCGTCGGCTGGGAATTGAATCCCATACCACTTGTGTGCTTGGCAACCATTCTACCAATGAACCATCGAAGCCCCAAAACTGTGGCACTATGTAATCCCATATTACATGAACAAATCGTAATAACAATAAATCGTAATCAGTAGAAGGACAAATGCATAATGAAAATAATTAGGTCACGTTTAGTCAGACCACTGGAACACCGAATAGTAGCGGATCCAGACCACTAGATCCTAACCAACTAGACAAGAAATCTAGAAAACAAAAATTAACCGTAGCAGTAATTGCAGGCAAACAGACACACACACACAAACATAGACTAGGATGCTCCAAGGAAATTCTTAAAATTAGTGTAAAAGGATGGAAGGAGAGGTGAGTAACTGAAGCTTTACCTATTGAATCAACTGAGAGCACATGCAATAGGCAAGATCCATTATCTGTTCTGAATATCAAGAAAATTCTGCTACCCGTACGATAAATGAGAGAGAGAGAGCCTGACAGAGAAGAACAAGAATTATAAAAATCAAGTTTAGAAGTTGCATTATTACAGTTGATATTGATTGTGCTGGGAACATCATCCAGTCCTGTTTCACTGTATGGCATATATCCAATAAACAGATAGATGTGGAATTTTATTTAAGATACCCAGAGCACTTTTCGAAAGCATCAGTAAAAGAGAGAGAAAGTGAGATAATATGCGTTAATGTCACACCAAACAGAATGTATGAATTTATAGGTTGGGCAGCAGCTCAAGGTAGCAATACTGATGGAAGCTATTTCTTTTGCACGCAGACCTCCAATTGTTTTAGGCGAATTGTAAGGGCGTGTTTGCTTGCTATCTAGAGGCTTTTGTTAATTCATTTCGCTTCCTATAGATGGTGGAAGAAGATTCTTCAATTCAGGTTTGTGGCCTGTTTCGATGAGGTGATCTCATGGTTTTAACTGTACCTCTGCTTACCCACACACTGGTAGGTACTGCCGAATACCAAAAGAAAAAGTTCTATAACAGCTGTCAATATTATTGACTGAAGTGAGAAGCAGTTGAATTGACAGATACAATCAGAGGTGACTTTTCTGCGTACTCCATCCTTCAGTTGAGGAACTACAGCCGTTTGTGTGATGAATATAACCTGAAACTTTCCCGCATTAAATGTTCTTTGGATCGATTTGAAAAATAACGATAATCAATCAAATCGGTTGTAGTAATTTAGAAGAATAAAAGCTTGTAAGGAGCATACAGTAATTACTATTTATTTAATAAAAGTAGCTGGTAAACGTTTCATATCAAGGAGCGATGCTCACCAGAGAGATTAGGGTGACCTAAATACCGAAGGCAATACCACTCTTTGAGGTATAGTTTAGGGTGTGTGTAGATAAACTTCATCAGACAGTAAAATTACCTCAAATCACCCTAATTCTGACCAGCTATTCGGACGAAAAAGTATCACATTTAAAGCAGTTATGTATTCCATAGGAGATAAAGTTATGGTAATTCAGTCATGTGAACTACTGAGGGTGTAGTTTGAATCCCAATGGGAGCACCTACACTGATTGTATATGGTGCAGATAAATTCAGCCAACATTTTCTAAGTAGAAACGTGTTCTCTTTTTTATCAACAACGTTTAGTATTTTTTCGTCAGACTCGATCAGGTCCCATTCACTAGTTTTCTCGCCGGTCCTAAGCCTAGGAAAAGAAGAGAGAAGACTGGGCGTGAGGAAAGTGACTCTAGAGGAACATATGGCTTCAGCCGCACGTCTCCTTTGCGCTCGGTTATCTGCCCACATACCTTCATCTCCCATTCACATGACCTCCTCCATGTCACCCTTGAACTGACGACTAACTCGTCACTTTCCGTTCGGGTCCCACTCGAGTGATGGCCTCGCGTGTGATGTCACTTGATGGTTTCCTCAGAGTATGGCCAATCCACCTCCATTTCTTCCTGCATATTCCTTGGACAATTGGTTCCTGGTTGGTTCACTCCCAGAGATCCCTCCCTATTACTGATCTTTTCTGGCCATCTCATCTTGAATAGTACTTAGCGAAGACAACTGTTAATGAAGGTCTGTAGTTTGTTTGAGGTACTCATTGTGACGCGCCAAGTCTCTGATGCGCATAGTAAGTGGCACTGACTTCACATTGGAGTTGAAAATCCGGATCTTATTTTTGATGCTGACTGTTGTTGATTTTCACACAGACTTGAGAGAAATAAAAGCTTGCCTTGCTTTCCCGGTTGGCGCTTTGATATCCTCACCACCTCCGTCCACCTGTAGTTGAAACGAAACTTCCCAGGTAGGTAGGGCAGGTAAAGAATTTTCTCCTATTGGTGCTGATTGTTGTCTGTTGTTGTTGATTCTGTTGCTGTTGGCCAAGAATCTTCATCACCCACCTCTTTTTCTCCATGTTCACCTGAAGGCATATCTTCTCTGGATAATTCTTCTACCGCCAACTTGTTGCTTTTCACTTGCATGTCTTCCAGTTTATGGGAAATCAGACATATATATATATCTCATCGTCGATGTCCAAATCCTCCAAGGTTTTTTTTTGTAAAAGTGGATCCATTTTATGCCTGTTTCCTTGCTGCCCACTCACTCACTGTCTGTGAGCTTAACAAACATTGATCTATAACAACTCATGTAAATTTTCAGGCTGCCGACAGCTGAAGAAAAGCTATGAAATAAAATAAAATCTCTTTTTGTATCCTTTTTTGCTTTCTCCTAACATTATGACTACAATCCGGTTGATTGGCTATCTTTGTAAGAAAATAAAAACAAACTTATTACTAAATTTAGATTCCACTAACTTTGGTAAATTTTTTATCTATTTATAAGGCAATCAAGTTAGTTACTAAAATTATAAAGCCTTCATGGCCTACTTGACTAGTTCATTATTAACATGGATATTCTCAAAACTGGAAGTGGTTATTGTTATTATTATTCTCATTAACATTCAAATCTCAAACACTGAATACATATTACATGGGTTATATAAAGAGATTTTTTACTTTATTTAAAAAACGTTTTCCAAAATAAACAACACATTTCACTATCTGCCACTTATACTATGTGTTAATAATTAGAATAAAAATAGTTTTCAAAGATTAATTAATAATGCATATGTACAGAAGAAATTAACTCCTTTCTTTTGTTTCTGTGAAGTAAAACATTTCTGGATTTCATCATAAACTGTTTCGTCCTAGTTTGGGACTCTTCAACAGTACGGACCCACAGGGATTCGAACCTAGGACCTTCCGGTTACAAGGCTAGCGAGCTCGTATACCATTAAGCCACTGGGACCCGAAACAGCTGTCCAG